ATCTCACAAGATCTTTCCTAAAATCAATCTCAGTAACAGGCTGCTTTCGGCTGACTGTAACGTCATTTCATTGTGTGAACCTAACTGTAACTGTAGTCAAAAGACCAGTAAAAGCTGGTTTCGTTGGTGGAATTTTCTCTATGTTCTCAATGAATCATATCTCATCCGCAGCTGCTATTCTTGGACTTGAGCCCAACCCCAATTCCTGCTTCCATTTGCGAGAGAATTACAACCTGTCTGTCGGTCTTCATCGCCACCCAGTGGTCGATTGGCAAAATAACACCAAGTTACCCAGTGGACTTGTAAGATTTAGGAAAAGTAATTAAAAGTAATTCAAAGACTACTTTAATCCACCACCTAATTAAATACACCTGGGGGCCTCATTTTTAAAAATCTGCTGAAAAATCAAATAAGTTGTGATATGAATAATAAATTCATAATTCATCTTTGTAAATTAAGAAATGCATATATTATTAATCGACAGTTTTTCAGAATAACTACTAAAACCAAACTTTTACTGTCTTAAGGCATTTATGAGACTCCATTAAATAGCTTAACTGTTTAAGAAAGGTCTCCAGATACAGGTAAAATATTCAATTTTAAAATCAATTGATAGATTGCAACATATTTATAATACAATAGTGGCATTTTAAAATGAAAATGAGCAATGCCCATTTTGCCCCAAAATTTTAGCCCCAAATTTTTCTTAAAGGGGATCCTATTTTCTCATTTAACAACCACTCCTCTACAACTGAAAGGCAGCAACATTTTGTTGTTACTCAAATTTATTCGTAAGTTTGCCCTTTTCTGAACCCTAGAAATAGGTATCATAAATACTTGTTAAAGGAGAGAGAACAGCTCTTTCATCTTAGCTGTGTCATTTCTCTAGGTAGTGATAACTATTTCAGACCATTAAAATGATGAAGACCTCCCTGTCCCCTTTGGAAGATGTCCACCCATAGCACTCAGAGATCACTGCCACTCCCAGGATGACTTGCTGTTCAGCGGGAGGCCAGAGACAGGCCCAGGCGCTAGGAGACTCACAGCGGGAAGAACACTGGGCTCAAGGTCAGAAGCCAAGGTGCCCATTTGAACCTCACGTTGGGGATTCTCGCTTCATTCTCTCCCCAAGGCCCATCTCCATCTCCCCATTGAGCTCATTTTAAAGGAACAAAGAGGAAAGGAGCGAGGTAGAGAAGGGTAAAGGGGGTCAAATACATGATGACGGAAGGAGAGCTGACTTTGGGTGGTGAACACACAATGCCATATACAGATGATGTATTATTGAATTATATGCTTGAAACCTACATAATTTTATTAACCAGTGTCACCCCAATAAGTTTAATAAATAAATAACAAATTCTATCTCTAAATTATGTCATTCTTTTTTAAAGCTCTTGAAGCAGTGGTGACAGAGTGGAAACTGCGTTATGTGATACACACTCACTTTCTAGAAGTGTAGACATCTCTCCTCCTTAGAATTCCATTTATCATGGCAACTGTCCCCAAATTGTCTTCTCGTTAAATCCCCAGCCTGCCTCTCTTCCACTCTAGGTCTTTTCCTTTATTCTATGAATAGCTACATAGCCCTCTGCATCCCAATGAATGGAGAAAAGTACGGGTTCTAGGGAGGCAGGATAAAAAGTCAGGGGATGACAGAGGCCAGAGAAGAGAGGCTTCAAAGACGAGGAGATGATCAGCATTGTCACAGCTTTTGGCAAGTGAGCCGACTCTGTATGGCCTGAGTTTTTCTCTCTCTTCCTTCCTCCATCATAGCAGCCTCAATGATGCACTGGTCTGAACATCATTTAGTTCCTACACTTACGCTTTGAGTAAGGATGGTCCTCCTCTCACTTAAAAAGTTATCCCTCCAGACTGGCTAGACCTGGAAGTGTATGGAAGATATCTTCGTCTGCTCAAGCTCTGCAATAAAACACCACAGACTGGGTGGTTTAAACAACAGAAATGTGCTTCTCACAGTCCTGGAGACTAAGAAATCCAACATTGTTTAGTTCCTATACTTACGCTTTGAGTAAGGATGGTCCTCCTCTCACTTAAAAAGTTATCCCTCCAGACTGGCTAGACCTGGAAGTGTACGAAAGATATCTTCGTCTGCTCAAGCTCTGTAATAAAACACCACAGACTGGGTGGTTTAAACAACAGAAATGTGCTTCTCACAGTCCTGGAGACTAAGAAATCCATGATCAAGAACTGCAGGGTTTAGTTCCCGGTGAGAACTCTTCCTGGCTTGCAGACCACCTTCTAGTTGTTTCCTCACAGGAGGGAGCGAGCTAGCTCTCTGCTGTTCTTTATTATAAAGATACTAATTCTATCGAGTTAGGGCCCACTCTCATGACCTCATTTAACCTTAATTACTTCCCTACTCTACATGTAGTTACATTAGGGGCTAGGGGTTCATCTGTATGTGCCCCTATTTCTAGGGGACACAGTTCAGACCATAGCAGAAGGTAATAGCTAGGAAGAAGAGTGACCTTGTTCAGCTTTGGGGTAGCAAAGCCACATTTGCTCTCTCATCTTTCCACATAAACCAGAGAGCTCGGGTTTCCAAGGTACCAGAGTCTCTAGGAGAAGTGGGAAAAGGAGGGGTGAGAAGAGAATTAAAACGTGTTGGGTGTCTCACTTGTGGCGGGCCTGTGAGGCCTGTGCCCTCTCCTCACTGATTCTCACAGCAGCCACACAGGAGAGACCATCTCATTCTACAGCTGAGGAGACTGTGGCTGAGAGATAAGGCAACTTGTTTCAGACTGTCCTAGTGGTCCCTGGCACAGCCAGATCAAAGCACTTTTTACCACACCACAGCATACTGTGTGGGCTCGAGCAGACACGCACAATGCACAGGAGGAGTGAGCCCACTGGATTAGAGGGTGTAGTGAGCCCTAACTGGGGTGTCTTCTCTGACCCTCAGCAATGAAATGGAGTAATAATGCTTCGTCCACAAGGTCATTCTGAGGATTAAATAAGATCCCGGTGTGAACCTGTGGGCCCGGCCAGCGCTAGCTAAACCAGGCCAGTTCCCTCCTCGGCTTTCCACTGAGAGCCCACACTGAGCTGGGAGGCAGCTTTGCTGGAAATAATTCGGCATTTGCCAGCCTCCCACGTGAAAGATTATAGCGAACAAAAATGAATAAAAACTACATTCCTTTTACTCATCCAGCCAAAAAGCTTTGCTCTCCCAGTCAAGTGGATTTTAAAGCCAGTCGCAGAGGTGGCAGGCTGCAGGCACTGACGGCCATTGTCCCCACCACCTCAGAACACCAGTCCCAGCCTTCAAGCTTTGGGCTTCGGCTCCAGAGCTGGGCTCACCACCCACCCCATTTCAGAGCCACCCTCAACTCCTCCTCTGGCTCATGTCCCACATCCAATAGGTCCTGTCACTCCTGTCGCAACGGTGTCTCTGGGGTCGGGCCCCTCCTCTCCATCCACCCTGCATGGCCCTGCTTAGGGTACTGAGCATCTCTCACCTGCATGTGCTGCTATGGCCCCCTTACAGTCTAACTGCTCCAGGCTCATTTCCATGCTGCTGCCGGGTATCTTCCTGAAACACAGCTTTATCCCATCTCCGTCCTGCTTCAGGACATCATCCATCTTCCTTATGGCGGCATCCTCGATTTTCATAACCCGCGCTGGCTCTCCTGCCATTCCAAGGCACTGCACCCTTCACCTCCACTCCTTGAATGTGCTGCCCTGC